AACAATTGGGTATTTTCTTTTAAAACAACTGAACACTTTCATGAAACAAGATGACAGGAAACAACATTACTATTAAAGTTGAGAAAAATTCTCATTAAACACCACTTACTAGAGTGGCTCACCCAGATGGCACCTGGTCGATTTTTTTTAAGTGTCAAGTGCCCAGATGTTACGAAACCCACAAGTACCTCCAGAGTATATAAACGTACTTGTCAATATTTTCAAAAGGATAGTGAGGAAATAAAATAGTCTTTCTACCATCATGTTTAATAATTATTTTTACTGCAACCCTGATAAATAACTCATTTAGGCTGTAGTGCATATAATATATAGGGAGTAAAATATAAGTAGTAATGTTGAATAGACATTTTTCACTGCTGGTTGCAAAGACTAAGTGCTATGTAATTGTTTCAAATTATAATTAATATTTTTACTATTAAAAACGTGGCAAGACAAGTGTTGGTTTTCAGAGTTTATAGAAAATGGAGCCCACAGGAAGTGACAATTAAGAGCTAAATGTGTGGTTTTGCTTCACATCAGTTATTTAGCCATACGTTTTGGGGTGTTCTTTCTCATGTTTGCCACTTTCAAAAAAATCAATAAAAAAGCATGTGAAAATACCTAAATGAATGCAAGGGAAACAGTGTCAGAAATCAATACTTCTCTACCAGCATGTTTAACCTGCGGAAATGAAGTGTTAATCACAGGAATAAGACACCATATTACATTTATAAACTAATGAAACTAGAAAAAGCAAAGCGTGTGACACTATAATTAAACAGCTGGAAGACATCCAAGCCTGTGTAAGTTGATAACCCTGGAACAATCTCTGGCAGTGAAAAGGCAGGTCTGCAGTGAGTTGATATGGCCAGCTCGGTTGTTAATTGAATAACAGGCAATCTATAAACACTACTAATTGCATATATGAAAACCTGTGTACAACTAGAGACGCTGCCTAGAGAAGCACTCCAGAAAAGCTCCACGGATAAAGCACTCTGCAAGTCTTCTGTCTCCCTCAGTCCCTCTAAGTCGCAGCTTGGTTTCACCACTGCATCCTTTTGATTAACCTCTACACAGCAGACTTAATGATACATTTTTCAAAAGATCATTTTTCTTCCTAACCCAATACACACTGCACAACTATCAATTACCCATTTCAGAAAAGAACAAACAAGTAATCTAGAAAATTCAGCCTGTGAATGGAAAGCTTTCTAAATTGTAAGAGAAGACATGGTCTTATTCCCAACAGGCAAAATGCTTTTCAGAATTGTTCCGACGTGTTTTGCAGAAGTGTGGCAGCTGCTGTGAACAGCATGCGGTGTTAAGATTTGACACTTTTTTTTTTCTTAAGGATATAGCCATTTGGGGAGGCTCAGAAAACGTTGTCAGAATTTTACTTATTCATCCATTTAATAAATCCTTTTGAAATGATTATTTCAACCCTGGTGAATACAAAACATAGCTTTGCTTTAGGATCAACACAGAGTTTTTATTTTTTAAGTCTGTAGAGAAGACTGCTTGGCCCCAAGGGATTGGTTATGAGAAATGAAACCTCCTCTACCTTAACATTCAAATCCAAATAAGGCCAGCCGAGGGCAAATGTCACTGTGATTCTCAAGGTGTCCAGCAGCTTCCATGAAATGAATTGAGAGACTTAATCCACTCCCTAGTGGATATAATACCACATCATGCAACAAACCCAGAACTACCATTTGGAACACTGCGCAATATTTAGAAGCACAAGTATTAGAGCTAGAGTGACTTGAGCTCAACATCATGGCTCCAACACGAATAAGCTATAGGCAAGAAACTTAAAGTCACTGGCCCTCAGTTTCTTCATCTATAAAATGGGAATTACAAAATAAGCCCAGTAAGGTTGTTATGAGGAATCAAAGAGACAATACAAGCAATATGCTTAGCAGAGTGTCTAGCATAAAAAGTGCTCAATAGTAGTAGAGTTTTAAAAAAATGAAGCATGTATTACCCACTACAGACAAATGGAAAGATTAAAATATGTGTAGCAACAGCATGCAGTTAAAAAACTGAATGGTGCCTGAAGCTGACTTTCTCTCTCACATTTCATCAGAATAGAATATCAGTTTCACCAAAATTCCTGGGGAAAAAATAGGAATGTGAATGCTTCACTTTATATATAGGCATATTTTAGCTAACTGGTGCTCTACCAAGTCTGAAGGTAGTTCCTCACCCCGAGGCTTTCAGTCCAGTAGAAATAAGAATGAAAAGAAACTAAAAAGAATCATTACTAATTACTTGTTTTTAAAAGGATATGCTAATAAGTAGGAAAGGTGTGAGAGATGGTGAGCACAGGGAAATGAAGTACATAAGAGAGCTGTCACCTCTGCTTTTGCCCTGAATATTTGCCACCTGGAGAATATTTAATCTCAAGAGTCCCCAGACCAACAGGAGAAAGGCCTGCTTTACAGTGTTCAGACATTAGTTTCAATCCACTTTTACCAAAACTCAAAACTGATTAAAAAAAAAAACTCTCTGTAAGTTTCACCAATTAACTTGACTACCGAAAAGTATGTTAACTGAAAAGACCTTTATAGATCAAGCAGGTCCCAGTAGGTATTACCAAGTCTTCCATCTATTAATAAGCAACATAGAAGTGAGGGGTACAGGCTCGCTCTCTGTACCAGCCCAAGGCTCATTTTGCTGGTGGAAACCCCCACCCACCCACGATATGGGCACTGCGGCCTTTTGGAACCTACACCTGTTTCCAGCACAGGCAGCCTCTCAGCACATATAAGCAGTCAGATTTCTCGTTAGCACATTTGAACTTTAAGAATTTGGAAACCGTCAACGACAGCTCTCTGCTTTTGAATTAATTTTATTTCTTGCTCCAACAATTTAAACTTCCTGCTCTTAGGTCTCAGTACAAACCCACTTTTAACATATTATATTCAAGTAAATATGAAATGAAGCACGATTCGTTAACAATAATCAGAACATTAAAGTACAATCTATACCCAGTTGAAGCTCCTCCAAGATTGCAAAAGGAAAAAAACATCAGGCTGAAACTGTAATGCATTCTGAGTATTTAAATGTGGATATTAAATAGGGCATGACTATGTCCACGTAACTGTGTGTGAATGTGTGTTTGAAAGAGTATAAACTTTGCTACATAGATTTCAATTACATGTACTTAATATATTTATATTATTATCGTAGATATTCAGAGATTCTACTCAAAATGAAATCAATCCATTACTTGAAATTAGAAGGAGCTAAAACCATACAACATGGATCAATCACTTAAACTAGGAAAATTCCCTAAACCATTTTTTAAAGCAATTTGTTTTACTTGCTTCTAAACGTGTGATCACATAATGAAAAAAAATTCTTTAAGGAGAAAGGATTCATAGATGCTGGTGAGTCAGGTGAGTCATATCAGGATGAAACTGTCTCTGCATGTCCCCCATTGCAGCCAACATTATAGGAGATCCCCAATAGAAACAAATGAAGACTGTTTTTCAAAAATCTTAAACTACCTTAACATAGAAAGATTTTCAAACTGCTATCAACATCAAAAACCCTGAAAGCACCTACTACTAATTCATTTTAATTAAAAAAAAAAACCGTGAGTGACATACCAGGTATATAACAACCTTTGTAGCTGAATAAAGAATCCTTACCCTTAAGGAGCTCCAAGCGAGAATATATCTTAGACTCTACCTGAAGTACAATGTTGTGATATACTGGACCAGCATCCTAGGGGAATCCAAAGGATAGGTGGTTTCTGAAGTATACAGAGTATTTTGCCAAGGTGAGATGCTGGGGAAAAGGGCATTCCAGAGCAAGACTTCAACCTAAACAACGCATGAAGGTTCAAAAGTGCAGGACCTGATTTGGAAAGAGTAACTAATACAATATGATTAGACTACAGAATGCAGAGGTGGAGCAGCTGAATACAAATCTGCAAAGACAAGTTGTGAAAAGCCTTCGATTCCATATGAGATAGTTTAAAATGTTTCCTAAAGTTAAGGATGAGATGTCAAATGGACATTTTTGTGCAGGGAAGTGATGATCAGAATTGTGTTTCAGAAAGAGAGTTCTGATGGAAGGACCAGGCTAGCTGGAAACAGAGATCTGAGATGGAAGCCAGTCAGGGAGCCAATTCAACTCTTTGAGGGAAAAATGACATGGGTGTGAACCAGGGCAATGAAAGTGAGGCGGTATTTTACATGATACTTCAGAGTGAGCATAAATGGGAGTTGGACTCGATGAAGAAAGAGAAGGATCAGCAGAGAGAAGCATGCCATTTCTAGTCTGGGTGACTACATGGATGGTGAGGGAGGCTATTAACTGAGACAGGAAATAATGGGAAACTTCTGAAACTAGACTGGATTAAACAATGATTATACTACATATGTCCACTGGAGAAAATGCTATGGCACCCAGTTAAAAGAAAGCAAGCCCAGGTTAGCCCTGTTTTTAAAGAAGCAAACTTTGACTTTTTCAATTAAAAGGAGTATATTCATCCTTCTTAGTGAAATCCACTGTTGATACTCTGTACTTTTCACAGAGTAACAGCTCACTATGTTTCTTAGCACACATACCTCTATTCTCTCATTTCTCAGATTAATGATCTCCTGTGGACATTCCGTATCTGTAAATCAGATCTTCCCAAGCTCTAGGAATGAAATAGCAATGCAAACATTCCATAATCTTCTGGAAGAGCATGGGTGTCTAGAGCTCATGTAATGACACTCCAATCTCGCCATTAGAAATGATCAGAAGAGGACTGTATGAGTTTCATGTGGATGTAGAAAGCAGAGAGAAAAAAGGCAGTCCCTTCCTATTGTGTTATAACTTGGCCCTCATAACACTTCTAGAAGAAGTGGTCAGCACCTAAGAGTTAGGGAAGGCCAGGTGTGCAGATGAGGCAGACTGGACACATGGCAGTTACCCAGGGAGAGCTGGAGTGGCGTGGGAGATATAAAGGAGGGAGGATAAATTTGAAGTTATGCATAAATTACCTTCAACATCACAGCTCAAGTAGTTACGCACTTCATTCAAAATGAAGTTGATGTCTTCCTCAGAAGGAACGGGGTGATGTGTAACGTCGGTTGGCGTATCAGTAGTGCCAGCTATAGTCATCTTTTGCCACGGTAAGAAGAAAATCACTCGCCCGTCACTGGTCGCTGGGTCAAGAAGTCCCATGCTCTCTGGGCTGGGGTAAAAAGAAGGGTTATATATTTCTAAAATTAGCATTAGTTTGATCTTAATCTGCATTCAAAAAACTGTTTTATTCACTAATCCTCATATAAACAAACAAGGAACATGTGAACTATTACTTTCACTGCCATTACCCTCATCTAGAAATCCCTAAAGGAAAAAAGTAATTCTGGTAACAAAAAACAAATGGAACAAATGTAATTATAACATCCCACAGCGGAACCAGGCCACCCCACTCAGCAATGCAAAGTTCGTTAAGAAAGTGGATATCAACTTCCAATCGTTTGGGTTTTCATATTCCTTGGACCATTCACATCAGATAGTGTCAGTGGGATAACTGTCTGTAATTTCTTTCATGATGGTCAATTAAGAATAGCTCTTCAACCTTTTTTCAAATCGATGAAAAGTACTTTCCTGGGACATTTGACATTTGGCACATCTTTCAGTACAAGGTCTCGGAAATACATGAGAAAAGTGAAGGGTCTGGCTTCCCAGAAATGCAAATGTAATCAAAAAGTTCTTTACTCCTTTGTGCCTAAATAAACTTGTACCACTTCACCAAATATGAGATTTCTTACTTTATTTCAATATTACAGAAATCTCAAGAATGAGATTTCTTTCTTCTTCATCCATGAGAAAGGGGCTCAGTTTTCTACTACTACCTAAGTAACAATGTACTGGGATAAGGTCAAAAGGGAGAGGAACACCGTAGTGATGAAAATCTTTAAATCGGCAGAAGACATCAGTGTATTATGCTATTAAATCAAGGTTCAAGGATGCCTCTTCTGACAGACTATATAAAACCTTTAAAAATATTAATCAAGGATTTTTACTAATACCTATTTAATATTCGAAAGCCAAATTATAAAACACGTTTGAAAGAATAGGCAACTGTAAATAAACATTAACAAAGCCTGTCCAATTGTGTTATTAAATTACTAGAAACCAGTGTTTTAATGTATCCATTAACCATTTAGTGGGAGGAATCTGAAAGTGTTTCAATTTGACTGAATTATCATAAGGAGCCAATGTTAGAGGTATTTTTTTGCAAATATATTTTCAGTTCCTATTAATAAAATTTCTTAAATGGAAATACAATTCTATTTGGTTTAAATAAATTTCAAAAAAACCCTCTTATATCCTCATATTTTAAAAGGCATACAGTCAACTATTTATGTTTCTCATTCCCTTAGAATTAAAAAAAAAAAACCTCAAAAAGATACATCTGTATAAAGATGAGGGTCTAAAAACTTTTAAAAACAAATCAAAAATAACTTTTTTATGAAAAAGAAATATACAGTCAGCTTAGCTAACGCGTCTTCTTTATTTAAACCACAAGGAGTACTAGTCTTTTTTTTTTGCAGAGACCCATCAGCCCCATGAAATGCCTGCCACATCCACACAGCCGTCACAGAAAGAAATCACTCTTTACAGCCTGCATGAGACACAGGAGTCAGTGGGCCTCAGTTCTTCTATTTAGCACATGCAAAAAGCACAAAAAAAGTGTGTTAATCATTTAAACTTTCAGCTAAAATCTCATCTTCACTCAGGGTTACTTAAAGGAAATAACTTTACTTTTTAAAAATACATTGAAAACTAAAAATACTGAGTATTTTCAGTCTCTGTATGTCTACATTTTTCTTTGTATTTTCTATAAAACTTTCTAAAGATTGTAAAAGAAACTAGTCAATTATATGTTTTGTAAGCACCCAATTTGATCCTGAGTTGATTTGCCCTTAGATTAAATCAGTCACTTTGCGATTAGAAATTAATTCATGAGTTCAAACTTCAAATTTGATAGATAGTACTATATTGAAACAAAAGGATAAGTTCCATATTCTAATATTTAAGGAACAAGTTGTATGTTGGTATATTTTATATATGATCATTTTATGGACCAGGTATCATATAATGGGTTTAAATAACTCAATAAACCTGATCAACTTCAGCATAAAGTTATAATATTCAGCAACCTAGACATAAAATGCTGTTAGAAATTCCCAACTACTGAATCCTTTAAAACCTTTCAATGCAATAAAAGCAGTTTAAAGGGTGAACATGATGGTTACCAACACACACATAACTGGAACCTGTAGAGAATCAGCTGCTTAAGTGAAGACATGTGTCAAACATAAAATTAACAAGCACAGAGGGAAGACAAAGCTACTAATGAATGGTATAAAAATTTAAGAATCCACTTGGAAATATCTCTCATTGGTTCTAAATTACCTAATTCATAACTTGCCCTTAGGGAAAAGTTTGTTTTCTTACGAAGGATTAATTCTGCAAGGTCGAGTTAAAGTTTGAAAATGGCCATCAGCCATAGTGATGGTATACACAGCGCGGTGAGGCATAGGTCTTTTCTCAAATATGTATAATTCACTTGACATCAGCAGGAAAAGCTTGCTGCTAATTTATGTGTGTGTCTAGGATTAGCTGTAATGAACATTTTCCTCATGCAGACCATTGCCGTTCTGAAGTACCCTTATTTAAATGAAATCAATTTATTGTTAACTACTTAGCAATCAGTGTTAGGGCTAACAGTATGCACACACATCGTAGAAAAAAAAAACTGACGTCTCGTCAGTAGTAAAAAGCATCTGTAGGCTAGAAGAAGGAGATGATTATTTTCATGTATTTCAGTCATTTGGTGGATTGTTGCTGCTTTTTCATAAGAGCATCTACCCACAACTCTGATGAAAATTCCAGATTTGTCCCTAATGTAGAGAGTGCCTTCAAAAGTAAATGATTGCTATATGTTGAGTTTCCTGAAATTAAATAATCCAAAGAGAGAGGGAGAGAGAGAGGGAGGGAGGGAGAGCTGCCACCATGACACAAGATAATTCCACATGTGGAATGTTAGGGTCTTAACAAGCTTCATAAATGCCGTGAAGATATTCTGAAAACAGCCCAATAGGATACCACATACATGGTCCTCACTCTCCATTTAGCAGCCTACGCTCAGTAAATCAGGGGTTCCTGCACCCGCTGTGCTGCCAAACTGATTAGGTTCTAGCTGAAATGCAAGGTCCTCAGTTATCATGAGGCGGTGTAAGGCAGCATCAGAAGGTCTAACTCATCCTGAGGACCTGCTCGAACTCTTGAGTCATAACTGTTGAGTGTGACTGACTGAGGGATCCAGAGAGCCATTTCAGCCTGAGATCTCCGGACCCCCCCCACCCACCCAAGAGAATGACTCAGTACAGAAAGCAAAACCGTCCTTCTGGGATACCAGAGCTGCAGCTGCTCAAGGTCAGTTGCTAAAAGCGGGACCAGACCCCTAACCGAGGCTGTAATCCCAAACCAAGGGACTCATCTGCAACAGAGCCTGAACAGGAACTGGGCTGCCAGACCACTGCTCTAGGGTTTCCTTCCAACAGGATGTGTAGTGGTTGTAGTTCAAGGTGCTAAAAGTGGAGATTAATTTCTCCCAAAGTAGAATGAGATCACTTATTGCATCTTAGACTGAAACAGACCCAGCTGGGACTAACACTTTCATGATTTATGGGCAGGGGCCCGAAGCTAATTCCAAATTTTTAGAATTAAGAAAGGCATTCTGTTTTGAAAATATTACATCCAAGTGATATATATTTATATTTCTTAAAACACCTATCTACTCTTTATTAGCATAATATAAAGTATAGTACAGAACAACATGTGTAGTTTGACCTCCTGCCTGTAAAATTTTTAAGAGGATATACATTTGTGTAAGTATAAATATAAAATGTTACGGAAGGAACCAGAAGGAAGTGTTATCCATCACTGGAGAACTGAAGGCATGGGGCATGACAAAAAGAAGGAGGTTTTCACTTTTCATTGTATATTTTTCTATTTTCTATAGTGATTATTTTTGTCTACAGGTCTTATCTGGGCATTAAAATGAAAAATCATACAGTGTTTTCATATTTTAATTTCTATATATTTAAAAATTCCCTTATAGATAGTATATTAAAATTTTAAGTACAAAGGCTACAATCTCAATTTGGGCCAATTATCACAAAAAGGTAGGATTCATTCAAAAAAAACTTACTGGTCACTATCATGTGCTGGACAATGTACCAGGAAGTGGGGATACAGCAGTCAAAAAAAGAGATAAAAAGTAATCAAACGACCATTGTCAAAATGTATACAAATTAAGTACTACTGTGAGGTAAGGAATTAGAAGCTGAAATGAACAGCTTCCCAAAGTCGCACAGTTAACAAGAGGTAAAGTGATGAACAAACCAGGAAGTTCTGTACCACTCTTCATACAGTCGCTTCATCTATACATCCGAAAGAGTAGAATGTCTTCCCATTTTAATGATAGGTAAACTAAGGTTTGCAGAATAAAATGGCTTGTCCCAAACGATGCCTACCATAGGGAATAATAAGGGAAAGGTATCCTCTGATATCATGGGACAATAGCGATGAATACACGAAACACAATACACAGGAGAATGTGTTGAATCAAGTAAGATCTAAACTATAAGAATTATGATGATGTGTGTGTCTATAGTTTAGGTACTACATCTGTACTCTGAGACATTAAAAAACAAACCTGTCCAAAAAATTTACAAACTAGCTGGCCTGGCACAAAATAAATGTCTATAATTGTGTCTGGAACTATTTTTGAAAACTTCTCTATACACAAGAAACATTTGCAACATTTACATATATTTACTTCTCTCCTTTTAAACTACACTTCTGCTTAGCAGTTTTAAAAACTCTCTCAAGCACCACTGCATAAATTTTTATTATTATGACTGGAGGCACTTTCGTTTCTCCAGTCCTAAGTGAAAATACTAAGGATCGTCTACCAATTACACATAGACATTTAGAAAATGACAAAGGAACCTTGAAAGTTGGTGAATAAGAAATTTTGTTAATATTATTCTTGGCAGAAGTGTAATATCCTTCTCATTAGAAGTGTATTTGGCAATCAGGTGTACCTTGAACTCTCTTCAAGAAGATTTAGTTACTGAAAAACTGATAATTAATACGGCAGCAGCATCTATTACATAGCAGGGTAGCAGTCTAGCAGAATGCAGATATTAAAGGTAAAATCATAGATCCATACATCTATTTTATCATATATTAAAGGTTTATAGGCATGTTATGGAAAATTATTAAAATACAGAAGCGACAGCTCTCATCCTAACCACCTCACCTAGAAATTACTTACCCATAATCACATCACCTGGAGATAATCATCCTTACTATTTAACATATTTCCTTGTGACCTTTTCTCTATAATCTTATATAACGTTTACAACACGTTACACGTACTTGTACCCTCCATCCTAAACTAACATTGTATTACTAGTGTTTTCCTAGAACATAAAAGTCATAATAATGATAATTTTAATGACTATATAATACTCCCCTTGTGCAGATACACCATGATTTACTTATCATTCTCCTAAGGTTAGAAACTGAAGTGGTTTCTAACATTTCTCAACTACAAATAATGTCTTAATAAAGACCTTGAGCATAAATCATTATTTCACATTGAATTATGTACTAGTTTACCTACTAGATTTACCACATATGGAAATAAAAATGGTATACGTGTTCCAACCTCAGCATGATTACACAAATTTTTCCCCAGATGTCTTGAAATGTACATTGGGGTAGTCATTAATTTCTTAGCTGGAACCGTTTTTTTTATTTATTAAAATTTTTAAAAATATTAAAAATTCAAACACACACAAAAATAGAAGTTTCATGTGCCCATCACCCAACTTAAATGATTTTCAATTAATAGCTGTTCTTATTTCATCTCTATCCCTGTCCATTTCTCTGCATCCAGTTATCTTTATTGATATATCAGGAATTACATCTGATTTTTACTTGCTATCATATTTTTCAAAACACATTTCCAAAGTTATAAACACAAGAATACCTGAGTGGTCCTCATTTTCAGATTCATCATAAGCAAATGTGGGTATTTTATAAAATTTACAATTAGTGTTTTAATAAAAATGTCCATATGGAAATTCCTGCAAAATTAATTCTAGTGTTTTAATGAAAATTAAAATTGAAAAATGCTAAGGTTTTAGCCTCTTGATGGTGAGTACACTGAAAAAAAGCACAAAAATAGATCCCAAATCACAAACTTGTAGAAAGGAGTTTTGTCATTAAAGCTAAGAAATCCCCAAGTCTGGTTTATATTCTGTGTTTTGGAAGAGGCTTTTTTTTTTAAACTCATTTTTCCTCATTTTGAATGGCCAGCTAGACCATCTATTATTAAGAGAATGCTACGAGAGTAAATGTAGGCAGGTTCTCACGGCCTCGTTCTCCGGCGGTGACCGCCGGGTGGGAACACGGTACCTGTAATAACCAGGCATCACGATGTGGACGCCGGCGCTCGGCTGGCAGATAGCTGCGGCGTTCTTATCATCCATTTTGCGCACGGTGTCTGTGAAAGGTCCCGTGGCATTGATAACACACTTGGCTCTCACGTCAAATTCCTGCCCTGTGAAAGAAAGCAGCGTCTATCACACACCCCATTTGTTTCTCAGCCCACTGACGCTTTGGATTATTATCCATCTATTAACTTAACCTAAGGCAGAGTATATTGTATGCCACACTAAGTGTCACGGGCAACTGGAGTCACTGAAAAGCCTCACAAAAGGCTCACATCTGAGTAAATTCACCAAAAACAAACCCAAAACTGCAGGAAGAAAGCATGCCGTTTTGTCATTTCAGCTCTCATTCTAGTTTGGAAAATGCCCGGCCTTAGTGCCAAATATGAAGAAAGTGAGTAAATTAGCCGCTTTCTCCTTAAAGCTCAACTGTGTAAGCAGCGTTGCTGTAAGACAGTAAGTTTCCCAGTGCTGGTTTTGTTCAAGGAAACGATGTAATTTTGTAGTTCTGCCTACCCGGCCAGAGCCGAACAGGAATGAAAGTCTAACCAGCGTTAAAGTGATTGGCTTTAACACGTGGGCACCGTGCTTCTGTCACCTAAATGACACTTTGAAACTTGGCACATTTATGTAATTTTATTAAGACCATGTTTTTGTAAAGAAAACAGAATGCATTCATGGCTGTGGGGATTTTGTGGGCATTTATTATTATCATTATCATCATTACTATTTAACACAAAGAGGAAAAATTATCGTCTCACAAGGGTAAATTTTCATGTGAATCCAGTCAGTGTCGACAGTAAGGAATATAGTTCATATGACTCTGAAATCTGGCTTGAATAAAAGAGAAGTGAGAGAAAAATTATCATTCAGTCATTACACGGGCAAGGCCAGATGCTAAGACATCGCTCCCTGCCAGAGCCTTCGCGTACCTGTGAGGACATCCTTGCACCGCGCCCCACTCACGCGCTCTTTCCCTGTTTGGGGGTCTGTCTTCTTGAGCAAGCTCACGACCTCCATGTAATTGGCCGTGGCAGCCCCATACCTGGCAGCAGTGAGAGCAATGGCAAGGTTCATCCGTGCGTCGTTGTGCTGTCCTGCAGCGGGGGGAAGCATCAGGGAGAGACAGGAGTCACCTCGAGCCACAGACTGGTGGTACAGAAGTGTGTCACAACAGATATGTCACATCTGTCCCTGTCACCCGGAATATACATGATGGCTGGTCAGCTCTAGAGGGCATGATTTTAAAATACACAGTCATTCTCGGTCAGGCATTTACCTGCCATTTCTACAAGTGCACTATGTGTACCTCAAAAGGATGAAAAAATCCCTTTCCGACAGAGCTCACATCAATTATCTCAAAGTTAAGAAATAAGTAATTATTCTCTCAGTTTGGGAACATATGTATATGTCAGACTTTTCCTAATACAGACAACCCGTATGCATGAAAGTGAAGCAATTCAAAACTTCAGAATATTTGACACCCCAACTGGTGTTGATTAACAATTTTTATGAATATGTGCTCTATCTAATATTCAAAATCAAGAGCTTAATCTTCCATAGAGCATCTCTCTGTATTCTAGAAAAGGATTTTTCTTGGTTTGAATTTTGATCAGAGCTCCTTAAAATGTAACATTCTTTTTAATCGTACATAAAAGGCAAGAAATTAAGCAGTGCAAAATTTAATTATAGAACAATTCCTACCTGTATTGTTAAAGATTTATTGCTGAAAAATCCTAGTTAAAGAAAACTAAGGGGGAGGAGAAGGGGGGAAGGATGATTAATCACTTTAGAATACCGGCATCACTGGAGAGTTTTTCTATTTATTATTGCCAGTGGAGTTAACACTGACCAGGAAGAATTACTCCATGTTGCAGGGGCCAGGTTCTCTGTGCCCTGAATAATTAATTACCCAGGGCTAGATGTATTGAAGCAGGGTTCAAATTCCCACACACTGGGATCAGTGCTATCAAGATAATACTGATAAAGGCACGAATTTATAATGGATATTGTTGTTGATTTATGTTGCCAGCATATCAAACATTTAGTATAAATGGTTTATGTAAAGTCTCTTCCTTGTGATTCAGTCTGCGCAGGGCCAGAAGCACCACAGGTCATCTCTTCCAGCTAAAAGGGCAAAGTTATAAAGAGAGAATCAATGCTGAAGATTCTGCCGCCCCTCCTCACAAGTATCTCATTCTAGATCGGCTGAACTATTACGATCCGCCAAGAAACTTTCCCTCAATTAAATCCTTTATCAAGTGGAGAACATGCATTAAACCTCGACATGCAAAGTGAGGAGTTATTTTATCCAAACATTAATAGAAGGAAAGCAACAGCAGCTGAAGTGGGAAGAAAAAAGGGTAACATTTCTATCAGGTCCAACTCAGTGCGACCCTGAAGCTGTTATTTAAACAGTGAAGTGAAGTTTAAGAAACTAACTTTTTTTAATGACGGGCTCACTTAAAATTGAAATATGCAAACAGTTCAAAGAAAAAAATAAAAATCCTATTACAGAGCTTCTCTTTAAAGAGATTACACATCTAAACTAAAGAAAGTATTCATCCCACCCAGTCTTTCTAGTGGATTTACATACATAACAATGAAACACCCTCTAGGGGTGGTACAAGAAGTCCAGTCCTGCTTGTACACGAGGGAAATTCACCCATCCAGGTGTGGCTTGATTTACACACAGGACAAGCCTCTGGAAAGCCATGTGTAAATCAACTATTTGAAATCCTATATGATGTCACCGTTGAAAGGAACCAGGTAGAAATCCCGTATATTAAATGGCAGATTCCTTTGTAAAGGGGTACATCTATTTGCACACTCGTCTGGTAATGAAAAGTTTTGAAAATACAAAATCTTTCTTTTAATATCTTTTTAATTTATAAGTCTCACTGGGGAAGTATTGGTGTAGTCTGCCAAGCTCTGTTGTTTCTATATTGAGATATATCTCCCTCATTAGCTTCCAAATCCCAACACTTTTGAAGGTAAACAAGCTCAACCTCAGTTAAAAGTGTGAGGTGGAAACAAGTTCCTCTGGTCCTTACTTTGCACGCCCACCCTGACACCCAGCAGCACCTGCCTGGACTCCAGTCAGAAATGTTACTTATTTATTAAGGCCCTTCATGAGGCTCCTCATCTGCCACAACTCTTCTACTTCCATTATTCTTACTATCTAGAATTGTCAAAATATTTACAACTCCCTGGACATCCATGTCACTTCACACATTCTTGCTTTTGTCCACACTAATTCTTTTGGCTGGAAAACCATTCTGGGAGCTCTGGACAACCCCTATTCATTGCTCATGAGCCAATTCAACTACCTTCCCATGAAGACTCTCCTTCTCTGTGCTGTGTCCCTCC